AGTTTCAGTTTCAGTTTACTTGGTAGGGTGTCCTCTGGAGTGCTCGCATGGGGCAGGTGTTGGTGACTTGTTTGGACGCCACACACTAGTGGCCCCTTTTGATATAAGCGCCCGCTGCGCCTTGTTTGACATATAACGCTGTGCGGGTGGAGGTGATTATTATTATTATTATTATTTCTTTCTGTCTGAAATGTGTTGGGGAATATGATTCGAGTTATTTTTTTTTATTTTTTTTTCTTGTACAGGTACTAGTAATATTTGCTTGTTATACTACTGTTAGAGAAAGGGGATCCACAAGTCCTAGACGAATTATACCCCAAGGTATAAATGGGGCTGGAAATGGTCATGTCAGTGTCCGAGACTATTATAGATATGAAGTAGTTCTATTAGGTCCTCTCTACTCCGTATACAACATAGTAATAGTATATATATATATATTATATATATATCTATAGATATAACTATCTATATAATAGTATATACTACGGAGTATGTAGATATGAATAATAAAATGAACGGTGGATCCCCCTAAAACACCCATCTCCTAGAAACACATCGTGTCTCAGTGGGATCCACCGAAAGGTCGGGTATCTGGTACTTAGCTGGGCTGACTGTTGATGTGTCTTTCCCCTCTTTGTACTTCTTACCATCTAAGTACCAGATACTTTGATCTTGTTGAACTCCGTATATTACCCCCTGGAATAGCTTGGTCGATCTCATATTTTTTCTTTTTTTTTTTTCTCCAGGGCCCAGAACTAGAACTGCTGAACAACTCCCTTCCCACACACGCTCCCCCCCTCCCCTCCCTCCCTCCAGATTTTCGTCCATTTCTCTCGCTTGTAATTCTGGACTGTCATACTGCCGCCTGACGCCTAACCGCCCTTCTCTCCATCTTTGGGGGATTCTCTTACTCTCCTTGGATATAATATCAGATATATCGACCTGGCCGATCCCACGATCCCACGTTTCGATCCGCTTTCCGGACATTTCCCGCACTCCAGATGCCCTTGCATCCTCTGAAGGAGATTTATCAAGTCATTATACAGTGAAGTACTTTGGACTGGCGCTCATCTGCGTCGTGATACCATAACCGGAGGAACTCGAATCATTTGTCTCCGTCGACCATGTCCACCGCAGTTGCAGCCGCAGCGGCCCCCTTGTCATCACCACACCCGACTCGCAACCCTAGCCCGAGAAACCTCCCGTCTTTGGCTCCTCCGAATAATAACCCGTCTAATTTCTCTCCACCCCGGATGTCCAAAAGCCCCAAGCATGCATCCGGGGCTCACGGTTCCCCGACCGAGAGAGGTCCGGCATCTCCGTAAGTCGAGAGATTCAAAGAGAATCGCGGAACTTCACATACTAACATTATTATCATCAGATCCCAACCTGGCAGCGGAGGCCCACAAATCACTGTCAAGAAGGAACCAGGTTCATCCCCACGCATGCAGAGTCGGCCCCGGCCTCGGAAATTGGATCTTTCGACTAGTCTGCCATCCTCCAGTGGTTTGACGGTTCGCCCTCCCGGGGGACCTTTGACAGCTTCGATGCAACATGTAGGCCTGGCATGCCTGTCGCCTGGCTTCCAGACCCACGATCCCATCATGCGAGAGCAGCTGCAGCGCAGCCTCTCCGTGCGGGATCAGCAGCGGTCGATCATTGAACAGCGCATGCAGAGATCAGCGAAAGATGATGGTCCGGACGGTATTAAGCCCTCCGAGTCGAATTTGATGGGTATGCCCAAGACCGGAAAGCGCAGACCTCCGGCCGGCCTATCCATCGTCCCTCCATCCGCCTCCCAGTTTGCAAACGAGCGAGTCATCCAATCTGCTCCGCTACACCAGACTTTCACTGGCAGGTACCAGCCACAGCCATTGACCCGTCACATCGTTAACCAGAGCCCGACGTTGGGCTCGACCTCCCACATGCATCAGCTGCCGGCAACCCAAACAAACAATCGTCTTCCTCCCCTCTCCGACGTCTTTGGTTCCGATACATTGGGTCGCGACCGGGATTCTGGCCTCGCTAATATCCACTTGAACGCATCGAGCACCAATTCCTCCCAATCCAACAACCTGGCCCCGATGCCCTCCCCTGGTTTGCCAGGTAACATGGCCCAAACCCCCAACCGACCTCGCGAATATCACTCAGCCGAAGAGGCCGTGCAAGAGATGTCCGGTGGACGAGAGGAGCTGCGGCCCCGCATTGTCCACTATGGAGGACACCAACCTCCCACTCCGCCATCCCCACAAATTCTCCACGCAGGCCCCAAGACCGCGCCTCTTGCCCCAGAACCCCAAGCGCCTCACGGTCCGCCTCCTGCCTCCTTTGGTATGTTCGCCCCGTCCGATGCCACCGCACGTCGGCGCCCTCGGAGCGAGTATGAACACGACAACGGAAGTCCGCCGCTGGGCCATGGCCCCGATTCTCAATACCGGCCCAACCCGGCTACCATGCCCAGTCCGCATGCTTCGTTCCCTGGACCTTTCGGTGCAGGAAGAGACTCCCCGGAGACGCAGCGGAGAAAGAAGGATGAATTCCTCGGTCTCTGTGCACGAGCTTGGGATTTGTTCCACTCGTGATGCGACATCGCTGTGTTAGTCTCAGCAGTGCCTTTTGCAGAGGCCGAGGGTTGGCTCTACTTCGCGAGTTTCAAGTAATGATGAAATTTGCTTGAACCAACTTGCTAGCAAATACCCCGACTCAACCATGCCCGATACCATCTATAAAGATTATCGCATCTGAGAAATTTTGCTGCTTTGGAATGCAAAGATCTTACTTGGATTCTATCAAGTCCCAGGCACTCTTTGGCCCTATTGGCGAGTCCAATCCCAACCGAGTCAGTGCCTGGGCAAATGTGAATGTTCATTCTTCCCCGACTCATCCTGGACGATCGAGTCGGGAAACCCTTTCCCCATACCCAATGATGCTTGCATCAATATCATGTTATCTATGCGACGACAGTATCGGCAGGGCACCTTGGCACCCTGTAAAAATTTTGTGTTCGGGTTCTTTTCTGCATCAAATTTGCTTTGGGCGTTGAGGGGGTGGTTCTATGTTTCGTACTATACCTTTTGAACTTGGTTTTTTTTTTTTTTTGTTTGGGAGATAAAGCATTATGGTAATGAGTTCTCTGCCTCTTATTGGCCTGTCCTGAATGCCTTCTTTTCTTCTCTTTGGAACCTTTTGCTCTTGCTGCCATATTGGTCCCCATCTCCAAGACGGGTGATCCTAATGCACATCTCACTTGAGATCATACATAACTATTACAGACCCGTGGACATGTAGACAAGATATTCAATATTCATATGCATAGTACTATATACTTTTCATTCCCAACAGATCAACGCCATAATCCAATACAAAGAAGGTCTACTCCAACCTCCGTCTCTTCCCCCATTAGGCATACCCCCATCCTGACCACCACCCTCTGCTCCCCTCCTTTCCCAAGGCATTTCCTTCCTCTCCTTAGAAGTCATCTTCTTGCGTCTTCTCTCAAGAGCCTTAGCCCGCTCCCTCGATCCCATCTCCTCATACTTCTTCTCAAGAACCTGCTTCTGCAACTCAGAGTTCTTAAGATAGTAAGGACTAGCCTTCTTCCCCTCCCGAATCAACTGCTTCTCGCGCTTCTTATGCTCAGCCTGTACATCCGCCTCCCGCTTCTTATTCTGCGCAGATCGCAACTTATCCTGCGCCCGTCGAATCTCCCCCTTAAGCTTCTCCTTCTGCTGAAGATTCTTCGTCTTCCTCATCTGCTCCTTCAAATCATTCAGTTCAGAAGCCCGGTACTCGTCCAAGAACGCATACGCAGTCCCGCCATGAGGGTGCTTCCCAACACCGCTGTGGCCCATGACCGCTGCGTCGAAGCGCGGGTCTCGGGACCGCGGAGCGGGCGGGAGTTCCACTGCTGTACGCTTGCGTGTCACGGCCCGTTTGGAGGATAGCTCCATCGGCGCATGCTTGGAGCTTCGGCTTTTCTTTTCTTTGGATTTGGATTTCGCGGCTGCTTCGAGCTTTTGTTCGCGTGCTTCGCGGAGCTTCGTGCGGATGTCGTCGAGTGTGGAGGCGGTGTCGTCTTTCGGAGTGCGCTTGTCTGTGCGGTTCTTCTCGCGCATAGAGGCTTGCGCTTTGGCTAGCGCGCCAAAGGAAATGTCCGCTAGTGAGGATTTGAAGTCGTCGCCTGTGTCGTGCTCGGATTCAGGCTCTTCTTCGATATCTGAGTTGCCTTCGGATTCGGAGCCTGTGCCTGATTCTTCGGCTTCGGAGTCATCCGCTGACTGGTTTGTTTGTTAGCTGGGATTCTAGAGTATATGTATGGTTGGCTTACTGATTGGATGGAGCCGTTGGATTCGGCATCAGAACCATCCTGCGAACCATCCTCGGAACCAGATGCTTCGGAGAAGACCTCGTCGTCTTCTGGACGAGCTCGCACTCGGCGATTGAGCAGATCGGAAATGGCCATTTTGTTGTTGCTGCAGTTGGAAACCCCCCGCGGAGGAAGAAGAACCGTCAAAAAGAAAAATATTGCCGCTCGGGCGGTCAGAGCGATAAGAGCTGATTAGATATTTTTCGCGATGCCCCGATGTTGCGATGAACGTTCTTAACTAATTTGCGCTTGTTGTTCTATAAATGTCCCTACATGCTCTACGAGGTCGAGCTTTCCCTCACTTCCAACTTACAAATTTCTCATCGCGTCACTCTCAGCCTCTTCCCAGGGCAACCAATCAGGTATTGCTTCCACTATCATTCGCTACGTGGATACCATTTTCGCCCAATTGTTGATTTATCTCTGACTTGCCTTTAAATAGCTTGTCCCAGTGTCGAATTCTGACGCTCTGAAATCCCGACTGAGATTCTCTACTTTACTCTCGTCACGTCCTACGTCCTTCAAGCTGTCTCGCGCAAGCAAAAGACTGAAGCGTGCGTCTAACGCCGCGGATCTTGAGCACCAGTCGAATCCGAACCCCCAGCATACCAATTCAGCCTACTATGTGGTAAATATGAACTCTGGATCAACACAGAATACACGGGGGGCCAGCCGGCCGGCTCGCTCACACGGTTCTTGGGACCGCAATGCGCCCCCTCAAGATACACATCGGAGTGCGGGATATGGAGACTATCCTATACAAGGCAATCTTCCACCGTCGCAGTATGCCCCTACGCCGAATATGAACTCGAACTTCGGTTATCAGATTCCAGCGACTAATCATGAGGCCTATCAATCTCGGGGCCACGCTCCTGCCATGCAACAGCACCAACCACAAATACCTTCTGGACAAGGTCAACAACAATTTGGCGCTTTTAATACTTTACCACAAGATCCAATGAGCATGGATCAAGCTTTCTTCCAAATGCAACAGAATATGCCTTGGATGTACCCGGGGTTTGACAGCGGGGCGCCATTCCCACCACCATTTCCTCTCCTCCCTTTCGATATGAATGCCCCACTACCCTTCCAAACAACCCGGCCCATGAGCACGATGACCGGTGGCACAGGACAACGGTTCACGCCGGATGTCCAAAGACAACGATCGCCAACACCGCCAGTCCAAGTCCCACTTCCAACATTACAATACACAAATCAAGCATCACTGAAGCCAGAGAAGACAGAAAAGCGACCACTCCTCGTCATCCTCGATCTCAACGGCACTCTCATCTACCGCAAGCTTCGCAGATTCCCACCGAAATTTGCCAGACGCACTGGTCTTGATCACTTCCTAGACATGCTAGTCAAGAACTACAAAGTCATGATCTGGTCCAGCTCCCAGCCCCCAACTGTAAACGCAGTCTGTGAGAAGATCTTCCCAGGTGCCATGCACGACGCCCTCGTCGCCCGCTGGGGACGCGACAAATTCGGCCTTAACGCCGACCAGTACAACAAAAAGCTCCAGGTCTACAAGGAGCTACACAAGGTCTGGGCGGAGGCAAATATCCAAGGCGCATTCCCAGGGAATGAGCATCTGAAAGACCCCCGGACCCATCACCAAGCGACAAGCCACCACCCAAGAACCGCAAGCAAAAGCTTCGCGAGGCTGAGGCTGCAAAGCTTCCTGCGGGCCACCGTTGGGACCAGACCAATACCATCCTCATTGATGACAGCAAGCTCAAGGCTTCGAGTGAACCGTTCAATATCCTCGAGATTCCGGAGTTCGCTGATGATCCCAATATCGATGAGACGAGGCTCTTCGCTAAGGTGCTTAATCGCCTTGATTATCTCGCACATCACGATGACGTGAGCAAGGTTCTCCGCACCTGGAATGAGCGTGTAGACAGGGGCGAGGGTAGTATCCTTGAATTGGATATTGGACTCGATGAGGATTCTGTCGATAACGAGGACGGCGGGATAAGTCTCCTCCCAAAGCAGTTGAATGGCGGCTCTAGTGCACACCCCATGCCCCTCGATGGTACAGGGGATGTCACTGCCCCAACAACTGCTAAGGCTAAGGCTAAGAAAAACAGAAAGGCAAAGGCCAAAGCAAAAGCGGCCGCCGCCAATAATCCAACCCAAAACACCAAACCCGCACTTGGCAGTACTGAACCCGTCAAAAGCCCACCAGCTACAAAGCCAACACAACCCCAGCAGAAGATAGAAGACCGAAAGGCCGAAAGCAGAAAGTCCCGCAAAGCGCGCAAAAGAGCCAGAGAAGAAGAAAGTCTTGCTACAAAGGCCGCCGCCGAGGCGGCACACCGAAAGAAGCACGGTGTTCCTCCACCGAGTGACAAAAATGAGACTAGCAAGCAACCAATCGCCAGCACCGAGCCAAAAATACCTGGTCTCGGTCTCCTTCAAGATCAATCTGCCAGTCTCGTTCAAGTCAAACCAACCCGGACATCCATTCGTCGCAAACTGAAGGCTGCAAAACAAAAGACCCAGTGCGAAGTTGATCCTCCCACCTCTACTTCTGCTTCTGCTTCTGCTTCTGCTTCTGGCTCTGGCTCTGGTCCTGGTCCTGGTTCCAAACCAGTCTTCGAATCCTCCTCTGCAGCTGCTCACACAGCCAATGCTGCTCACATCATAAAATCCGGATTATCACCTGAATACCTTCCGCCAGACGCGGATTTGACTGTCGGTATGGAATTAGATGTCACTGCGTATGTTCCGCCGGATGTCGTGACCGATTCAAGCACTAATCATAACCGCTCGCCGTCGCCTGTTTCATCAGTTGGATCGAGGAATTCGTTGCTTGATCGGCTTGAGGAGGGGCTTGGGATTAGGTCTGTGAAGCGTTGATTGGATTCTGAGAGGGATCTTTTTCTTTTTGTCTTTTTTAGGGGTGTTTTTATAGATATCCCCGTTCTATGTATTTTTTTCCTCCTCTTTTAGAGGTTTTAAAATGGTAGTATACATGTTTTATGACTAGTTGTTGAAGAATATTGTACTGAGTATCCCGGCTGTTCCTCTATCCATTCTAGCGATTCTACTGTCGTTCCACAGAAACCCAGGACAAGATAGACCACATACATATGTCCTTGCATGATGAACTAGCCAGTAATCAACCTCTGACAGAAACCTGTCCAACACTTTAGTCAGCTTGGATATTCATCAGCGGCTGGGAGTAACGCCTTCGTGGAGCTAGAACGGGTGATACGCCACACACACTATATACATACAAACGACCTCATTCTTCCTAACGAGCAAGCAGGTTGTCGAGGATGGAAACAAGTATCAGTCTATAGTTATATTGTATATGCAACCTATAATGACCCATCTACGCCACCAACCCAGCTGGGCCAGATAGATATGCTAAGGTTGGAATGGATAATTGAATGGATGGGATCTCATTTATGAGTATCTTGCTCGTTCAACCGAGTTGTTACAGAACCATGCGGGCAGTTAGAAGTAGTCTGTTTCATGTTGTGAAGTCTGAAGTCCTAACAGGCTTGCAGATGTTTCTTCGTAGAAAGGCAATGTGAGCTGAGCTCCGACGTCAGACTTGAAAGCATGCGAAGCCAGGAGTAATGCAGCGGCAGGAGGTACAGCGGCTGCATTGTGGCGAATGAAATACGATCTCTAATGCATAGAGACGGAGCAGGTCAGGCAGGTCAGGGAGATCTGTTGGTCGGCTTGTGGAAGAGGTAGACCAATGGTATATATATTTAAACGACTGAGCAAACGACGAAGAGACTGGTAGGATCACAACAATGGGTAGCTAAGGCACAGATAGCTACGAGACCAATTCCTAACAATACTACGTTATGATTCACAACTACACAGGAAAAATAAATATGCACTCAAGAAATCAGAGAACTGTCTCTGTACTTTCATTGCTAGAACTAAACTAGCAGCGACATGACCGGCTGGGATTGTCATAGTAGCAAAACCCAAACCAGATCAGTCGATCATCATTCCGCGTCGCAACGTATTCATAACCGTGATTCAACATCAACACGTAAGACCAAAGGTCAAGATATTTGGAAAATCCCAAAGAATTTCAGGCAAGAGGAAAGAAGAAAATGGACGTGAGGCGTGGGATGTCTTCACGCACAGCACGTCCATTGGGGTATTGGGGGATGAAATTTTATAGGAGATGGGGAGCGTAGATCGGGGCGAACACGCTTATTTGAAGACGTGGCCATCGGTCCACTCCTTGACCTTTCCGTCAACGGTGACGGGAACGTCCTGGGCCCACATGTCCTCGACGAGCTTGCGGTCAGCCTCGTTGGAGGGGTCGAGCTTGGTGAACTCGTAACCCTCGTAGTCGGGGCCGACAGTGAAAGCGGGCTCCCACTCCTGGCCGCGGGTCATGAAGGCACCGTAGACGACACAGTCGTAGTTCTCGCCGTAGACGGACTGGGCACCGAAGATGTACTTGCGGGAAGCCTCAAGACGGGTCTGGAAGCCACCGATCAAGTTGTTGGCCATGAAGGTGAGCTTGAGCTCGTTGTTGTAACGGTAGTTGACCTTCCAGAGAGAGTACTCATCGGCCTTGAGGTTCTCCCAGAACCAGGGCATGGCGACGGTGCGGGGGTCATCGTTGGAGAACTTGCGCTTCCAGTCATCAAGGATGAGAGTGGGCTTGCCAAGAGCCTCAAGGGGGTGCTTGGGCTTGGGGGCCTCGGCGGCGGGGGGCCTCAGCGGGGGCCTTAGGGGGGGCAGCGGCCTTGGGCTTGGGCTCCTTCTTAGGGGCGACGTACTTAATCACCTCCTCAGCGAACTTGGGGCTGGGGAAGACAGCCTTGAAGGCGTCCTGGTTGATAATGGTGTTGTACCACCGGGTGGTGGCGGGGTTGGCCTCGCGCCAGGTCTTGTCAAGGACAGTGGCGAAAGCACGGGTAAGGAGGGAGGCACCGAAGATATCGGCAAGGGTGATACGCTCACCAACAAGGTAGGTGTTGGCAGTGAGGTGAGTCTCGAGGGCAGAGACGACCTTGAGGGCGCTCTTGGCGGCCTCATCGACAGTCTTCTTGTTGTAACCATCAAGACCCAACAGAGGACGGTACCAGGCACCGAACTTAGGCAGAACCTCAGTGTTCACGAAGGACATCCAGCGAAGGATAGAAGCGTAGTCCTGCTTGGTCTTGCCGAGAAGGGTGGTCTTCTCGTTCTGGGAGGTGACTATGAACAGGACGTGTTAGTCAAGTTGCTTTGAATCTCAATTGGGTCCAACAATGGAGCGATCAGAGGTGTCGATGACACCATGTGTCCATTGCAAAAAAAAGGGGGTGATCGAGTCCAAATTTTCCCGCAGAGCGGGGTAGCCAATATTTTTTTTCAGAGTTGTTTTTTCTCAACACTTGTTATAACACAAGAGTTATAATTAAGACAGGGATAACTAATGGTATCTCATCATAAAGAAGAGAGGCATAAAAATGGACCGAGGGGGTGTGGTAGAATGCATTGGAGGGAGGAAATGTGTTCACATACCATAGACGGCAATGGCAATAACCTCAGAGAGGGTGAAGCCATTGGCACCCTCGAAGGCGGGGATCTTGCCAGTAGGGTTGAGCTTGAGGAACTCAGCGCCGGAGTTGAACTCAGCAGCAGCGTTGGCCTCAGTCTTAACCAGCTCCAAATCGAGGTCGTTGTGCTTAGCAGCGACCAGGATGGAGATGGTGCGACCGTTATCCTAAAAGAATATTAGACATTGAATCCAAGTAAAGAGACGAAGAAAAAACATACAGGCAGACCGTAGAGCTTTCCGAAGGCCATCTTGAATGTAATGTGTGGAAGATGAAGAGAAAAAAAAAGAAAGAAGAGAAAGGAGAGGGGCGAGCAAGTTTTTTGTGCTGGCGGGACGACTTCGGTGTTCGGAGGAACTTATCCTGCCGGGGAGCCACATCACATGACCCGACAAAAAACATGACACTCGGAGACCATCAACGGCCTCCATTTAGGACCTCAAATCCGAGTTTCAGCCCCGAATTCCCCGCCAATTCCACCAGCCATGGCGTGGCACAAACCCACCAGTCTCGCACAGGCGATGCAATCCCTCCGCCTAACCTCAACCCTCACAAAACCCTCAACCCAAGCCTCCCGAACAACCCTCAACACCCTCCGCACGCGCACCTACGCAACAGAAGCCGAGTCGGTCCCCGCGGCCGCAGCCCCGGAAATCAAATTCGGCTCCATCAACCAAAAGCCCGCCCGCATCATCCCCTCTTCCCCATCCTACTTCTCCGGCAGCCCACGGTTCATCGACCACGTCCTGGCACTGGAAGCGCTGCAAGCGAAGCACGCCGCACTCCCTATAGTGGCAACGAGCGAGGCACCACGCATGGCGTGGTTCAAGCTCCCACAGTTCCGCGACTTCGTTGGCGAGCCCGTGCCCATGAAGAAATACAAGTCGCTAGTTAAGATCCTACAGCGGCTGAACCGCATCCAGCCCGACATGGTTCCCGCCGAGGTGCGTGATACTCTCGCATCGTTCTTGCGTCCTGGTAACCCGTATGCGGTGGAGAATGTTCCCCGGACGGTGGATGAGAATGGACGTGCGCGCGGGAAGGGAAAGAGGAAGGAGTCTACGGCTGTTGTGCAGCTTGTTGAGGGTGAGGGTGAGGTGTTGGTTAATGGAAAGAGTATTGTGGAGGCGTTTAAGCGGGTTCATGATCGTGAGAGTGCGCTTTGGGCGCTGAGGTGTACGCAGCGATTGGATAAGTATAATGCTTGGATTCGGGTCCAGGGTGGTGGTGTTACTGGTCAGGCTGAGGCTATTACATTGGCTCTTGGTCGGGCTTTGCTGTTGCATGAGCCTGGGTTGAAGCCGGTTCTGAGGAAGGGTATGTTCTTGGTTCATTCTTATATCTCAATTTTCATTGACACAATTGCTAACTTGAATTTCTTTACAGCCGGTGCCATTACAGTCGACGCTCGTCGTGTCGAGAGAAAGAAGCCTGGTCACGTCAAGGCCCGCAAGATGCCTACCTGGGTCAAGCGTTAAAGTGGTCAGCGAGATCACTCGAGCATTTGCTATTTCTTTTTTGTTTCAATACTGTATTATTCCACCACGGTACCCCGAGTTCGCGACTTGTTTTATATCCTGTACTCTCAATGCATATGGGGATCAATTCTAAGGTTTCACTGAAACGCGTGTTGTATATCACCTATACCTAATTCCACGTTCTACTATCTCTACGTAGATGGTAACAAGTATCGATCATAGCTTATACATCTTCATCTTTGCTCTTGGCCTTTATTCGAAAAAGGTACGGGAAATATATACCAAAATGGTGCCAACTGGGGTCATTTTATTTAGTCAAATTTGAAAGCATAGATGCGGCAGCAGGACGGACATCGTAACCACCTGTTACGTGGATCCCGATTAGGGCAAAGATTGAGCGATTGATCTCTACAACCTACGTCTGAAGCACTAAAGTCCAACCTCCAAGATAACTCACTACAATGTCAAATATAAACCCTGGACAGTGAAAATAGTCATACTCGATATCAAGTAGATCGACACCATCTCAAATCTAATACTCGGAAGGGTATGCTGGCTCGAGGTACAAATTCAAAAATGCGAAAGCCAAGAACGAACCATTTATATCACATACCGAAGCAACAAGCAGTAAGACTACTAATTAGACCAAAGAAAAAAGGAATAAAACGAACCCCAGACCCCAAACCCCAAACCCCGAATCCAAGCCCAAGCCCCATTCCAAAAAGGGAACACAAAGGTTCCGTTCCATTTTTGCGCCGGATACGGCTTTGCCCGTTTTTGTTTGTGCCCACGCTCCAATGCAAAGCCAGTTCGGATCGGTTCAATACAAAGAACAGAGAGGGTGATGATGATGATGATGATGGTGATAGTGATAGTGATAGGAGATAGATATATAGAAGGTAGAGAGATGAGATAGGAAAGAATAACAAAGGCCAAAGCGCACCACCCACAGACAGAAGACTATGAGACTATATACAACTCGTCAATTCGTCATTAGGGTATTGTAAATGGTAAACGGGGAAGAAGAGGAAGAGGAAGATCGTGATAATTGTGGTTATGATAGTAGCCATGGTTGATGGTGGATGATTGCGGTGATAGTGGTATTGGGTGATGGCGAATGACGAGAACACGACAATGTTGGATTTCACACAGCCACCTCGTTAGCTCAGTAGATAACTAGTTAGACGATAGGTATAACTTCGAAGGATCAAGCGCTTCAGGCCAAGAGAGAGAGGCAGCGAATGATAGCCCCCTCTTAGGAGGGGAACGGATAGACCGACGACCGAAGACGGAAGGAGGGGGCCGGCCGATCTCTCATCAGAGCGAATGGGAGATTTATTGGTGCCCAACGAGGTGAGAGGTGACAGGTATACCTCTTTGCGATGTCAAATATCAACATCGGACTTGGCGCGACGCTAGTAGGCAATAGCCTCCCCCGTGGCGGCAGCGCTTGGGTGAGATTGACTCAATGCGTATAGTCTCCGATCGTCAGGACGCAGTGTCTTTCTTATTTGGGAGTGGACCCAATTTGATGTGACGTTTGGGGTATTTGAACTTTTTTTTGCAGTTTTCTTTTCTTTTTTTTCTCTCGGCTTTTCTGCTCTTCTTCTGTTGTCTTGGGACTTGGTTCATGGTCGTGGCACTGCCGTGGGTTCGGGTCTGGTAGGGATGTGGTGGAGGTCGGGACTACTGTCCATGAGATCAAGACATTGGCCCAAGACTAGGTATTTGTGTGATTAGGAGGTGATATAGATGCATTGGAGTATAGCGCAAACTCACCGGACAATATTTCTTCTTCCCATATTCCCATTTGATAATCCACCAACCCGTGTGGTTCAAGTTGATCGCAAAGCTGAATTAGGTCTTTTCCCATAGTCTCCATGCGATCTCGTCGAATTAGACTTGTATGCGCAGGTTGTTGACTTGTCGCAATCACTTCCATAATCAAATCTTTCTGTTTTTGACAGAGGGCTAGCCAGCATAGATTGAATTCGCTCCATAGCTTCAGACGGTCGGAGTACTGGATGCTATCGTCATGGAGGAGGCCTACGTATCAAATCAGAAGGATTAGCCTCTTGCTGTAGACCCACGAAGGTGTCAGATAATTCATGCATGATGTGTGCCTGCAGGCTCGGAAACATTGGGGGCAAAAAGAATAGGAAAAAGAAGGGCTGACTTTTATGCTACTAGGCGAGGAGAACTCAGAGTAGACTGTAGACACTTGTTTCTCTGTCTTCTCCGACGGGACAAAAAAAAGCAAAAACAATAAGAAATATTTGCCGGCGAAAAAAAAAAAGAAAAAGAAAAAGAGTGCATCTTACCAAGATCCCGTGCATTGGTCACAAGCCACTCGGAAATTTCAATCAACGATCCTCCGGCCTCTACCAATCTTCCGGCTCGAGTTTGATCAAAACTACGGCGCAGGATGCGTTGGTATCGTCCGATGGCCTCCTCTAGACTGGGCTGATCCGACTGCTGTTGCTGGGACTCTGTTTGGGGTTGATCGGATCTGTTCATGGACCCGGAACCGATTGCAGCGAAATCAGATATGGGTGCAGGAAAAGACTGGGTGGTGTTCGGGCGTGCCATGGGACCGGGTTGGTTATAAGGCTGGAGTTGTGCATTTAGATAAGGCGAGAGTCCAACGACCCCAGACCCTGCAGATTCCTCTGGCGCAAAATACTGTGGAACGGCAAATTGGTTCGACAAGACATCTATCGCTGCAGACTGCCGTGTCGGGTACTGTGGCACAACCTCGAATTGACCTTGGGTTGGACCCTGCTGACCGAACCCGTACAGCATGGGAGAATCATACGGTGAGAACGCAGTGGGATCATGAGGCTGCGCACGCCGTCGCTGAGGTTGAATAGCCGGTGCTTGTTGAGCTCGTTGAGCCCGTACATAGTCCTGAGGTTGATAGTTCTGCAAGTCGTTTGACTGCAGGGAACCGCCGTGGAAGGAGCTGCCTGTGTATCCGTAGTCGTAGGACATCGGGACTTGCTCCGGGGGTTGCGACATCCCCGTTTGGTCTCCACGTGGTTGTATGGCCGGGTCAAAACCCTCTGTTGCACGACCAGGTGCTCTGCGAGCGGCATTTCCAGACCGAGACATTGACCTTTCATTCTGCTTCATACGTTGATCGCCATCCATGAGGCTGTCCCAGGATCGGTGCAGATCAAGCTCAGCCCAATGCTTGGGGGACAGCGGTGGGCTTGCGTAATATGCCAGCTTGGATGATTTTTGAGGGGGATTTCAGGAGATCTTTTCTTTCCCACAAAGGTTCTTCACCCTTGGGGGTGGTGGGGGGTGGGGGAGAGGAGAAGATAGGAGGGATAGAAAGGATGAGACGTGATCCTTGCGGTTCAAGTAGACATTCAAATCCTGTCCTCTGACGCAGCCGCGGTACTGATTTAAGTAACAGAGAAAACAAAATTATTAACACAATATAATTGAAAAGGAAAAAAGAAAAGAAAAAAAAAAAAACAGGTGAAGAAAGAAGGGGGAAACTCCAGAATTATATGTAATTAGGCAGGAAATCAGGGCCAAATCAGGTAGATAGAGAGATATTAAAAAGCTGATGGATCTGAAAAGAAGATGACGAGCTGATCCAAAGGATTTCCAGTCAGAGTAAGATAGATAGATCAAGTATGTTGTATATATTCCAGTCCTTGAATGGGTCTAGTATAGTATAAAATTGTATAAGAGTGGATAGTATAAGGGGAAAAAAAAGGCATCAAGGGGGGAACAGAAGAAACTAGGGCTTTATTTTTAGTTTTTATTTTCAAGCAAAAGAGTCAAAAGATAATCCCAATGGTTCAAAAAGGTCAAATCTCAAATATAAAACATTCAAAAAGCCCTAAAGTCATATATAATATGATCGACGATCGAGGATCTCCCCCTAAACTCCATTTGGCGCTATAATCGGCAACCCAGCGCAATGGTTCCTTGGCCTCGGACTTTTGGGGATTTTTAGGGACATTTTTGACATTTTTGACATTTATTGGATTGATTTTTCGATTTTAGGCGTTCAGCTCTCAAGGTCAGGTGGTATAATATTGTATTTTTTATTTTTTATTTTTTTATTTTTATTTTTATTTATTTTTATATTTATTTTGCCTCTCTCTTTGTGTGTTGTTGATTATCAAGTGTGTAACACTGTCTATGTTGCCTGGGGCTGATAATGGAGAGTAAACATGAGACAAAATATTCTCCCCTTGCGTAGAATGTCAAAAGGGAAAAGGGAAGGAAAAAACAAAAAAAAAAAAAAGCAAAGGTTCTAAAAGTATAAGTAAATGCAACTAAACGCAACTAAACGCAACTAAACCAAATAGTTAGTCCTGAAGTGACCAAAAAAAAAAGGGGATGCTATTTACATTCCGGGGAGATTAGCCGGGCAGCTGCTGGAACCTCGCGGAGATGCATGATACTTGAGGCTGACATGAGGATAATATAATAACTAGTGTGTTTAATAGTATAATAGTATAATAGTGTAAATAAGATCAGAAGTCATCTGATTATTGCATATTCTACGGAGTATACATTATACATGAAACTATCTAGTCCAATATAAATCAATCCAAATCAATCCAAATCAATTCAAATATTATGGAGCATTGTTTGCCCGATTGGATCTGCAAAGGACGGCCACCTACATACGTCAGTTTCCTTTTCCTCGGGTTTCTGATTGCTCAGGTCTCAAGGGGGGAGGAAAAGCAATTATTGTTACTATGAAGTACCGGACAAAGCTATTTGTTTACTGTTTACTTCTTTCGATTTATTCTGTACCCTTCAGAAGTAATAACCTAATTGTCCCTGTCATATTCCACCATAAACTAGATCCGACAATCTGGTTGAGATGGGGACAATCCACTAGACTATTCCTACAGGTGCAGTAGGCATCTTTATACTTCTCTCCCGCAAATGATCGACCTACCCATTATTAACCTTACCTATTAACATTTCAGTCTATGGAGGACACCCTCAGGTACTCCGTACTTGTGAGGGTATGAATTACTCCGTACCTTTATAATATATATATATATATCTACTTCATATTGGCGATTCACAGGTTCACATCGAACCCGAAACAAAATAGCATGAGACAATCTGCGGATGTACGACATGTGGAATAAAACAAATTACCTAAAAAAAAGGGTAAAAAGAAGAAACTATCAAATAAATTAAGCCATTGGACAGACAAATAGACTCGCGTGGACTCGGACTTCTAGATGTGCTTCTCGGTATATCACCCGCAACCAGGAGCCCGACACGGTAGATAGACCAACCGGTAGCACAAAACACGAGGCTGGAACTGGGTATCATGGCCTTGGACATTTATAATGGGACGGGGAAATCAAGGAATGATAATACATTGTTATTGTTGAAACCATTGCCTTTGACTATATCTATAATACTATATACGGTTATCGAAAAACTATATATCCTACTGCACCTACGGAGTACATACTCCGTATATAGAGTCATGACCCCGTTTCAGGTTTAGATATCTTCAAACACGTCAGACGAAACATGCATCAATATCTAATAATATCTAATCTTAGAATCCAAACAAAAGCTTGGACAGTAACCTCCCTATTTCACCCTCCCAATCTCATAACCCAACAATGGGGCGTAGACATCAAATCTCCCACCTGAAACACGACAAACAGACACTACTGCTACCTAAATCGGATGTTGTATGTAGAAGGTAACTAGACCGAAGGTAACCTCACCCCCTCCCCACTTCAATGTTCTTTTGCCCTTCCATTCCTCTTCCCCGTTACTCTGCCCTTCCCTCCCTCCCCTACGTAAATAACAAAATTCTATTTTTTTAAAAAAGAGAATACAAACCACCATTCCCTCGAAACAACAGTGCCTCGCCTTGTACGACTTCCACCTCGGACTGCAGACCCAGCGAATCCAGTGCTTCGGAATTCCGAAATTATCGTCTCACCACGCTCCGGTTGCCCAGTCAGGAGCACGGACGTCGCCGAGACGGGGGTGGTCGATGGTTGGGAATGGCGTGTAGATATAGTGTGGTGGAATAGTTACATACATACTCGTAACGTATGTACATAGTTATGGAGTAGTTAACTAGTTAGTTAACTTGTACAGACGTACATGAAAGGTTATACATGGAAAAGTAAGTTTGCAGATTGTAAACCGTTTCCACCACGTATATTTATCCTCCAACATGAATAAGGGAGAAATATCATAGCAAAAAGACCCTGGAAAGATTACGGAAAAGATATGACAAGGCCGCTAAACGCAGCCGACTATTCTTGTACATATATACCAGCGAATGTATATAATCAGCACAGATGACAATGTTCATGTACATATACCCAAGTATACCTATTTAGTTAGTTATCCAGATGCGTTTGTTTACATTTTACCTTTACCTTCCACGCTTTCTTTTTCTTTATGAACATACCGGCGTGGCTATATGCACAACCTACATACGTTGTATGCAACAGGGATGAGACGGGAGCCAGGGTTCGGGAAAACGGGAAGAACGCCATAGAACAGCAGAAACGATGACCTGGGGGGTGGTGGTGGTGGTTTGATGCAAAAGGTTAAGGCAATAATACGATGCAAGATGCACCATTCTCGACCCGCAATATGCTGGGACGAACAAGGATTTTTTGTCACTGTGGCTGTTTCCTGTTACCCGACTCGTTGGGCTGGGAGTCATACGGTCCACGAGACTGCGGTCCAAAAGGAAAGGATGGTTCGAGGGAGGGAACTGGTGTCTGCCGAGGTTAGTTTGCGCGGAAACAAATCAGGGTTGGTCCAGATGGGAACGGGGGCTGTTGCTCATGCGGCTGAAACGTCAAGACTTTGTTTTGGGGTGCTGGTTGTTGTAGGGTTGATGTTGATTGAAGCGTGGTGATATGAGGTAGGGACCAGGGGTGTGTCGATGATGATTTGTTGGTAAAGTTGTTGAATTGTTGAGTCGAGGGGGTTGGGGGTGGCTTATATTGTACTTTAATATAGTCTGCAGGGTAGCATTATGTATAGCCATTGACATTGGGTGCCTCAGCTGATGGAAAACAGCGGGAATAAAGACAATCGGGAGAAAGAGATCATGGGATAATTTTCATAAGATGTCCTTCCCATATCGGGACAGAGAAAATAAACTACAAACACGTCGCTGATCATTGAGTCATGTCATGTCGAGACCAAGAAAGAGAAAGCCGAGCACTAAGAAGAAACACCATTCACTGAATATATGTCGCCACTCAACCAGTGAGAAGGGCAATCATATTTGATCTGGGCCAAAGTCAGCACGCATGAATACCTCCAATAAGATCGCAATAAGATCGGATCAAAACATACTCAGTGTCATACTGAGGCTCACGTCCGTATTTTCCACCATATCTGTGAACTCCTCGAAGCTGATCTTTCCATCCTGATCCTTATCAGCCTCCATGATCGTCTTGTCGACGATCTGCTGCAGTTGCACGTCCTTGAGGTTATTGCCGACCATCATCTTCAGCACGATGAACAGCTCGCCGTTAGAAATGTAGCCGTCACGGTCAATGTCGTACACCTTGAATGCGAATCGCAGTTTCTCTTGCTTGTTGCCTTTTGAGCTGAACGCTGACAGGCCGGTCACGAATTCCTGGAAGTCGACGTCACCGCCACCGTCTTCGTCGAAGATGGCGATCATCCTATCGTAAAAGAGAAGGGTCAGACACTAATCTTTATTTATATGTAGGTCGTAGATCGTGGGTGGGGGTGTGGGTATGGATGTTCGGGGAGCAACGAACCTTGTGGCGAGCGGGTTGGACGACACTTGGGGTAGGGAGAGGAACTCATCACGGTCGATAGTGCCGGAGGCGTTCTGTAGACCGCTTAGTATGCTAGAACACCTTCTGACAGTCCATGCTGTGCAACTGACCTTATCCAGCTTCATGAAGCGCTTGCGCAGGCGATCCACTTCGTCTCGGTTGACTGTTGTCGCGATGTCAGCCGAAAGCCCGATCCATCACCTTGACACCTTATCCGACCGTGGAAAACGTACAGTTCGATGTAGACACAATGTTATCGAAGAGCTGGGTGGTACCCACGGAGCCTCGGCGTCTCCGCGCATCGTAAATCGCAGCAGCGTTGGGCTCGTTGGAGGAGGAGGGCTGGTCCATGGTGGGTGGTTGGAGAGGGAAACGAGATGTAACGACGAGGTACAGTGGCAATTTATGCGATGGGGGCGGGGGACAAAGGTTGTA